ATGCCGCCTCCTCTCCCGCACAAGTCTCCGACTTCTAGGCTAATTCTCGTGGTTAAAATGAGGAGTAGATATATTATTATTATTATTATATAGAGATTTCAAACGAAATTTACGAAATAGAAGATAATATTGTTTTGGATTAAATAATAACTGTAATAACTGAAATCAATTGGTTTATAATAAAACGGAAACATTTAACTTTAAAATACATTTAGAAACAAATGGACTGATGGAATTTCCAAGTGCGTAGAAATTTTAAGGTTTTTAGTGACGATAGTACCACCCCCACTGATGATAAAGTTCTATAAAAAGTTTAATGTGCATCAAACATCTTTCGAGATATGTGCATAGGTATCTATTTTTAAACAAACATTAACAACCTGTTTCTCGAAAAATATGGGAATGGACTTTCTTCCACCACAGGTGGATAATGGCTATGTTATTTTACCTTCAACTTGATACCATATTCGATGCAATCGATGGTTATGGGCCGAAAATATCGGCAGGGTGGTGCTGTGTGCTCGACGGACTCCTCCGAGAGCTCAATGAGGGGGAATATTCACCCAAGCTTATCTGGTTGACCACGACATACTCATTTTAGAAAAATCGCCAGGCAATTACTGAGTTCATGTAGTTGAAGGAGAGAAAAGAGAGGTCTCTTATAGGTTTAAATAGTGGGAGCTGAGACAATACAAAGATCAGGTCACACAACTGTACACAATCAGTAGAGCGAGATAAAAGTATTGGAGCCATTAGCGAGAAGATATGCTGTACATATATTTTTAACAGGGAGCGTCTTGGCTTGCCAACCCAAATGCTCATCTCTTAAATGGACTCGTCTGGTTCATTGAGGGATCCAAGACTGACGCGGGTTCAGGGACGGGTATCTGTGGCATGTGACCAGAGGAGAACTCGTTTTACCCTTTGAGGAAGTATATTACAGTATTTCAGACAACCAAAAAAATCTCAGAAGAAAATATAGGAAACACCTTCACACACACAGGATTACCTATAAAGTGGTCTTGGAATATGTCAATGTACTGTCTCTGTTGGGGTGGAAGAATCGTGAGGATCTAATCTGTGTTCTGACCGGCAATGACAGTACCGACGTGTTGGCCAGAGAGGGTTCAAGTAATCTATTCATGAGGTCTGAACTGAGGCTCCTGCAATGTTGTGTAAAAGGGTGCATTAATAACTGGATCAAAGAAAGATCATTGGAAGAATGGTCAAGTGGATATGATCTACTAGAGTCCAACCATCTCATAGAGGGCCTGGAGCACATCAGAAAGATAGTTTGCTCAGCAGATGCAGCATTAGGATTGTTACAGGACTTTTAAAGGGTCATGAACATCTAAACAAGCTCTTCAATAGAATTGGTCTGAATGTTAACGGGAGATACCAGTTATGCGGACATGAAGACGAGGATTCCATACATATCTCCTGTCACTGTGTTTGCTTAATGGTAAAAAGAGACTAATACTTCAGAGCAACATTTTTGGACATTAGAGAAATTTCAGCAGAAGAGGTAACTACGACTTCTACATAACGACAGCAATATATAAGTTTATACACATTTTTCCTTAAAACAATCAGCAAATCCCTTCATTCCATTCCCATAAATCTTCTCCAAATTCAGTTGATTGATTGGGTTCTCAGGTGCCACGCGTGTTCGAGCTCAAGAAGGACATTTTGAACAACTGCCGTAGGCAATTATTTTTAAACCTGTTCTTTTATAGTCATTAGCAGTTCAGTAAAATTTAAACCTGTTCTGAAAATTATAAAAATACGACCTATGTTAATATTACATTTTTTATCAAAATTATTTTCCAAACAAGATATCAAAGTTTTTACCTGTTACAAATCACCCTGTATAGTGTCCACTCATTTTAAGTTATCTCTTATGTAATTCTGTTATTGCAATGTTATCCAAATTCTGTTGAGATGTCATAAGTTATGCTTTATATTGAACTAAAAAGATGGACCGGTCCCATAAATTTCCAAGGGATTTCGCTTGAATCGCTTTGGAATCTTTCGGATTTCTCTTTACGCTCTTATTAGTTCGGTGCATTTCCTTCGTATATATGACGATTTATTTTCTTACAGACAACTGAAACCACGCATCTTTAGTTAATTCAGAACAACTGTCAGTTATTTATTTATTTACTTATTTATTTATTTAGACTAAAATATCAAAACAGGAACAAGTCTTAATTACAAAGATAGCGAGAAGGAGAAAAAAATAAAAATAGTATAAAATGTCTTCATTGAATTTCCATCATCCAGCAGGAAAAACGTTGCCCTTTGCATTTAATATAAGATAAATATCAGCTGGACAGTCTCACTGAAATCTTCTTGTGTAGCCTGCTAAATACTGTTGCAAAGTATTGTAAGATTTATTACATTCACTGGCAGACTTTTAGCTAAGAATGTCCTCATAAATCAAGTAATGTCAGCCCTTGTTTTAACAAGTCAAGCCCTTACACCTACGGGGCTGCAATTTTGGCAAATGTGTAGCAACAGCCTTCCTAGTCATATTTTAAGTGTTATTATTTACGGACAGAAAATTGTTTCATCTGGAGCTGGATTAGAAAGGCGTTATCCATACTAGAAAATATTTTATAGAAACAGATTAACTTATAACAGAAATCTTAAATGCGTGACTACAACCTTTGAGATCGGTGATGAACAGGAAAACACATATATAGGTGTATCAAAATAAATTAATAAAAGGCTGAGTGTATTTGAACTATTGAGGTATATTAAAAAAAATAATGTATATGAAGATGTATAGGGGACGGCAGTTAAAACAGACAAAGTATATAACAAGATCAAACGGAGAAATGTGTATACTATCTAAGAATATTAATCGAGAGCTCTCATATAAACGAGCAATGGATAAAGGATTTATCAAAAATAGCAAACTAATACAGGCCTTTATCTCTTTGCTATTATTAAATTGCTTACACTAACATGCTAAATTTTAATTACACTAAAACAAATATATGGAACCTCTGTTCAATAATTACAAAAGAAAATTCCGAATTACCGATCACCTGACTAAATTATTAATTTACTATTTAATGACAACTATCAACATGACAAAAAAACCCAATAAGTAAGTAAGGGGTAGATGATCCCCAAAACAATTCTAATACATGTGGTCATATATTCATACCAAATCGGACTAAAGTCGTTAACAACCAGCGTTGCCAGATTTTTTTTCGGGCAAAGCGGGATTTTGAAACTTTTTGAATAAAAAAGCGGGATTCTTTCGTCCAAAATCGGGACGTACTACGGGTTTGTATAATTGATGCCTAAAAAAAAGGTCTCACTCTTGTCTTCAAAAATATCGATGTCTAAAAAAAAGGACGTTAATAACAGACCTGGAAAAAAATCATTCGAGAGCGAGGAAAGCGGGACTGAGCGGGATCAGTTCTTGGACCAGTCCTCTTCTTAATTTATGCCAATGATTTACCTTGTGTGAATGATTCAGTTGTAACTATTCAATTTATCAAACCTTACTAACCGCAGTTCTATAATTGGTGATTTAATATAGGGTGTTAGAAGATTGAGTGCCTTAATTTTAACAGACGATAGAATACATTAAAATAAAAAAAACCTTATATGACATGGGTCCTAAACAACTATTTCCGAGAAAAAAAATTATTAAAATCTCCAACTTGTACGCAATTCAGTTGATATCTGGAGTTGGACCATGTCTGAGTGTNCTACTAAAATGCCTAAAAGCGTATACAAAAAGATAATTTAGAAATGGGAGTTACCAGCAGATAATAAAACCAATTGTTAATTATTTAGAACTCACCTCTTGTGATCGACGCCCCTAATCACCAAGCGACATTGTTCTCTCAATAATACTCATAAAATATAGCCAATATGTTTCTCAGACGATATTGCAATATCAACCCCAATAATATCGTCTTAATCAAGGTACTAGTGAAACAGCCGTTATAAACGTAGAATATGCAAATTTTATTGTTCACTAGACCTCGGTCAAATACATAGTTTTCTATCTCCCTGCGAGAGCTCTCGTACTCGCTATCTAAACCGACCGCTTTTTCCCTAGCGCAAAAAGTTTTCGCTATAAATTCTTTTTATTTGTTGTGCCTTAATTAATAATAATGATAATGTTTAATTATTAACCCCGAAATTATGTTATAGACCCGTAATTGGAAATTTAGATTATATAAATGTAATAAGTTGATTAACGCTCAGTTGTTCAAATAAAATTTGACTTTAAGTAAATCTAGAATAAAGAATTTAATAAACAATTTTACATGATTTATTAAATATTAACTAATATTGGTACGGAAATAAGTTACTAACTGTAAATATATATTTTTTAATTAACTGTTAGACAACGAAACTAATGAAAAATAATTTTGTGAAAACAGATTGCTTTAATGTGACAACGACGTGTTATTTTAAAGTCACCATATATTTTCGATGTTAATGTGGACGAATAAAAAATAAATAAAAATATCTACTAATCTGATTATAACGAAATATTTTTCTAAAATCGTTTCAAACATCGAGAATCATCCACTTTGTTCGGGGATCAACGTGTTTCGCGAATCTGTAATCTAGTTGATGCGACAGATTTCTAGTCTCGTAATAATATGCTTGGACCGGAGCGCGGCGAGTAGAATACTTTTAAAATTCGTTGGCGGGCCGCATAAACATCGACAGCGGGCCACATGCGGCCCGCGGGCCGCGGTATGTGCATCCCTGCTCTATATAAATATGAATCGTCTCAAGGTTGTATAGTATGATTAAAAAATGAATGATATTCTTATAGTAGTATTTTAAATACCGATATACAGCGGAAAAAGAGAGTTTCCTTCATGTTCAAAATGTGAGATAGAATAGATGTATTTTCATTTCAGACATAAAAGAATGAAATACACAAAATTGGCAGCTATATATACAAAAAATCGGGCTTTATCAGAAAATAAACCATTCAATAATATAAATCTACTCACTTTGTATTGTCCCTTCGGGCATTCCTCAGAGCACACCGACTTAACGGTTCTCCCATTGCGGCCGAGCTGTAATAAGAGCGAATTGTTCCACAATAGGCTGCGGTTGTTCCAGCTACCGACTTGCACATAATCGAATGACCCGTCCTCGAGCTTCTGATAATTCATTATATCATAACGCCCTGGAGGGTCGCCATTTTCATCAAATTCTATTATTTCCTCGTCGTAGACGAAGGATACGTTCATTAGGTAGTTCTAAAAAAACAGATTTATCTGAAAATTGAGATCATTTTATACGAACAGCGTCCATTCAAACACAATTTCATCTATCATAATACTATTTATAAAATTAGGGAGGATTTTTTAATGGTAAGGAGAATGTACAGATAATAAGCATTTTCAATAATCAAAATAGATGAAGCTGCAAAACGGTACTAAAAATTAATAATAAATAATCAAGTAGTTAAAACTTATTAAAAACCTCTGAAATCGTTCCCGATTTATCTACTACAATTGCGTGTACTTAAAACTTGAGAATCTCTGGAATCGTCTCCGACTTACATACTACAATTTTACAGTACTGTTTTTACAGACGTAAATGACGTGTCATCCACTTTTTTGTCCTTTTTTATTGCAGTGAACAGAAAAGTTGCTAGCTCAATTTTAGGTAATCATCAGTTCTACTTTAGTTTTCATTACAGAAAAGTGTATATGAAAGTTATTTGTGAACAAATATTAAAATGAAGTAATTTATTTCCCTAAATTCTTATTTTTAGTGTAATATTTTTGTGAAAGAGCAATGTGAATGCGGTGTGTGGATTAAATAAGTGTCATAAACATACATAAATTGACACAGTAACAATAAATTAATTAATTCGCATGGAATCGCTGGCGAAGAATCAGCTGCACATCTTTATGTACAGCGACTTTCAAATAGGACATGCACTAATACTCGCAAACAGAGGAAGAGCTATCGATGGAGTCAGCGGTTCCAAAAAACTGTTTATCGTATCAATGTGGTAAGTCAGTAGGTAGGTATTAAAAAAAATACATTCTACATTCAAAAAGCTTTCTGCGGGTCGAGCTCGTGTTAGCTCGTCGATTTATTGGCTTTTCAAATATCACCTCTAAGTTTCTGAACACCATGTATACTGCAGTTAGTTGTTACATGTTTAGTCATATGTAAATCTCAAGAACTACTTGAATGTAAATAGAAAATCTAATACTTGTTTGCGAAGAAAAAACTCTCATATTAAAACACCGTAAGCTGTTAAAATTACCTATTTGAAGTCACAAGTAAAAGTTTATTCTATCTAAAAGAGTAGTTCCAAAAGTAACATTTAATAAAAACAGTGGTACGCACTTTTTAATTGTCCAAAACTACAAACTTCTAAATTTACCGTGAATACATAGTGGTTTATTAACATCATGGATGAATCTTGGTGTCATATATTCAAAGAGATCTAGCTATGATAGCTACTGAATAAATTACTGGAACAAATTAAGGGAACAAAAAAATTTCACACAATTTTTAATGATCTTTGAAATGCTGTATTTCAGTGAAAAATGGTCATGTCGAGATAAAAAAATTATTACATTTTTGATTTGCTTTTACGTCGATACACTATGTGCTTATACACTAGGCACAAAAATTAAGGGATATTAAAAAAATCGCAAAATTTTGGGTGATTTTCAAAGAGCTGTAACTTGGAGGGAAATGGTCATAGAGAAATAACGTTAAAAAGAATTGCAAATTTTTGCTTTTCTTTAAACAGGCCTATCGACTTTCACCATAAAGCTCTTTTAGATAATGTAATTCTCTTCAATTTGAGCGGTTCCGGAGCCCTGTACGATGATTTGTTGCTGAATTATTGTCGAACAAAACAAAAAAAATCATTTTTGTCTTTGGCAATCAATTACTCGGGAAATAATGGTAAGTAGGGACATTTGAATAACTTGGCATAACTTTGCAAATAATAAATAAACGAAGGATAGTGACTGTAACTTTTCAACCTCAAAGTATCCTAAAGAAACCCTGATAATTTCAAAACACTGCGATGGAATGTTTTTTGTTGTTTTTGCTGAAAATCAATGTTATAAGTAATTCTTCACTTTTTATTCATTTTTTGAAGTTCCAAATGTTTCTTTTTAGCAATAATCATCAACAAACGTTCATTATTCTAAAAAATATGAAAAAAAAAATTTTTAATAATTATTTTTTCAAAATTTTTTCAACGTGTCCACAAGCTTCACAAACGTCATAAAAAATTTGGTTGATTTGACGTTTTAGATCACAATTTAATATCGCGTATTGCTGCCTCTGTTCCTAATCACCGATTCTAAGCGGTCTCGCACATTAATGTACCGCCGGATGTCTCATTGCGTAATTCCTTGCCAAGTTTGTAAAAGAACCTTGACGGTGATTTTGTAATTGCGTATAGTCTCGTCGTCATCGGCGCCCGAGCATGTCCTAAACATGCCCAATGGGGTTCAAGTCGGGACTCATAAGTGTATGGCTGAGAGTTACAGCGTTATTAGCGTGAAGAAAATTCCTCGTATGTGTTTGCGGTATAAAGACGAGCATTATCCTACTTGAGAATGTAACAATTCCCCATGCTTGTACGCATGGGCAGGACGTGTGGTTCAAGGATTTCGGTGACGTACTTTTCGGCAGTCAATGATGGGAATGATTACCAACTGAGTTCTGATATTAATGGATACGCCTGCCCATACCACAACTGAACCGTCTAAAAGCCGCAACTGGCGGCGCGGCGTAAAAAAAATATCGGTATCACATTCCCCACGGCGACGCCAAACGAGAGATCGTCTGTCGTTGCGATGGCGATTCTGTTGTGGTAGTCAGGCGTATCCATTAATACCAGAACCCAGTTCGTAATCATTTCCTTGAACCACACATCCTGCCCATGCGTACAAGCATGGGGAGTCGATTTATTCTCATGTAGGATGATGCTCGCCTTCACACCGCAAAACGGACGAGAAATTTTTTTCACGCCAACAACATGGTAACTATCAACCACCCACCTATGAGTCCCGATTTGAACCCCATTGTGCATGTTTGGGACATGGTCGGGCGTCGATGACGACGAGACTATCCGCAGTTACAAAATCACTATCAATTGACCCAGGCTCTTTTACAAACTTGGCAAGGAATTACGCAACGAGACATCCGGCGGTGTATTCATATGCACACGTTGAGGTGGCCATATCCCTGGCCGAGAAATAGTCAATTTTCTGGCGTTTTTAGGTACTGAAATCTTGAAAAGTAAAACGTGTAGAACAAAAGTAAGCACAAAAATAAAATCCTTGATGTTCCGTTTATTCATTGTTACTATTTAAATTTACTCAAATAAAATAATAACTAAAAAAAAAGCGTTTGTAAGACATGTGTTTGCTGTTATCCTAACCTCACATTTTAAGAATTATTTTCACGTACTTATAAATAAAAGTAAACAATTTTATATGTAGGACTAAGCAAGTAAATGTTACAAGAATATTTACATGTGGTTATATATAAAAAAGTTAGTATTTTCATACATTTCAGTACCTAAAACCTTGATGGTTTGATCGTTTTTTGCACCTGTTTATTCGTTTTATTGCGGCGTCTTTGAAAATACTCAAATGGCATGACGTAACATTCCTATTATTTGATAAGCTTTAGATTATTATTATTATTTGTCTTTGTGGAAAACACTATATAAAGAATACGGCGCTTTTAATATCCTTAGTTTATTAATTATTTGCAAAGTTATGATAAGTTATTCAAATATCCATAATTAAGCAATTTTTTACCTTTTTTTTTAATCAACATTTTCACTTTGTAGTTTTCAAAACCGTGCTTGAATTTTCTGTATGACAATTATTTCCAGAGTGCCCGAGTTGCCAAAGACAAAAATGTTTTTTTTGCATTGATCAACAACTCACCAACAAATCATCGTACAGGGCACCGGAACCGTTCAAATTGAAGAGAATTAAATTATTTAAAAGAGCTTTATGGTGAAATTACCAAAAAAATGTAAATGTTTGAGGTCCATAGGCAGTTTTAAAGAAAAGCAAAAATTTGCAATTTCTTTTTTCGTTAATTTCCTTATGATTACTCAAAAACTGCTGACGCTAAAAAATTAAACTTCAGACCCGAAAACTAGACATTTGAGGCTTCAATTTCCTATTTTTTTATTCTCTACGACCATTTCCCTTGAAATGAAAATCACCTAAAATTTTGAGATGATTTTAATATTCCTTAATTTCTGTGCCTAGAATCAAAGTGCTGACAGAATTTTTCTAAAATTTAGATGATCTAATAAGCTGTTTGTGAGTTAGTTAACTGTAAACTGTTTTGTTAGAGACATCGAATAATATAAATTCTCATGTAAGAGTAAATGTTAACCGATGAGATAAAAAGTATAGGCATTAAGATATTTCTTCATCCATTCCAATACTTCAAAAAATTAAACAACTCTAAAGGATGAGCTCGAATTCGAGGAATGACCATCATTTTCTGGGTACCCTGTACAAAAAGGAACCATCACTATTTATTTTCCATTCGTTCTGAAAATGTCAATAAGTACACAATTTGTATAAATATCACAATGATTTTAATTTAGCGGTACAACTGCTGTTATTTAACTATGATGAAATACTTCAAATAACTTGACGCTGCAAGTTCAACACAACTACATTGCAGTTTACTGATTTAACGCTATCATTATCGTTTCCGACATATTCCTTCTTATCTTAATAAGCCGGCTACGCGTTAGAACCCTAGTAGTAACACCGATTTAGTTCTGAATTCCCCATCAGCTATATTTGCTCCCAACTCGAAGGCAAACGTGTTAACGGACCTACCTTAAATAGGGATCCATTAAAGGGCAGGAGTTTATCGCACATCCCGACTGATCCGTGGCCGCACACGTCCTGTTGCATGTCGTGGAGAGCGTGAGCCAACGTGTAGATGGCTTTTATAACGAAGCTGAGCTTGGAATCCTGCCCGTATTTTTCAGTCAGGCTTTCCTTACCTGAAAATGAATTAGATGTACATGGTGAATCGAATAGTTCCTTCTATGTTGTTTATTTAGAGAGACTAAAAAAAAAACTCAAATATACTTTTGACATTAGTAACCGTTAAAGTACATAGTAGCCTTTCTCTCTGACGACTTTTTATTTTTGGAAAGCCTGATTGGTCAGTTCAAAAATAAAGTTTAACTTTTTAGCTTCTATTATTGTATGTCTCTTTTTGGATCTTTGTTCATTCAAATATCAAAATTAAACTGTCAACTATTGTCGCAACCTGCAACAAAGTACAAAATTCAAATAAATAATGCTACAATTTAAATAATAGCGTTTGTTGTAAAACAAAACATTTTAAATCTTTATCTTAAGTTACAAAACTAATAAAACTAATGTCATAGCAAAATGCATAGTAGATTGTGCTCTTCTTCGAATGAGCACAGTTGGAAAAAACATGTGGACAAACTTTATAAATAACAGAAAAATATAAAAGTGTCTAGAAGCTATAATACAGGCTGTTACAAATTCGCTTCTCACTACAGGAGTCTCAGAAACGGTAAGAGGTACGAAGTAGCTTAAAGTTGCGTAATCAGGGGACCAACATTATGCCTCTAAAAAATCAAGGCTAACATGATTAGTATACGAAATATTTGAAAAAAAACGAAATTTTAGAAATCCGCTTTTGTTTCATTTCAGCCTTGTTTGAGGTGATATTGAAAAAAGAAGAACGCTTTCTCATGGCCACTTTTTGTCCTCTATCGAATGACATAATAATTTTTATATGTAACGTCTTGTCTGTCCAGAACCATCATCAACTTCATTTTTTTAAATACGACCCTAGAAATTTGATTACATTTTTTGCAAGCCTTCATGACCCCCAATACTGTACTGCCTCAGCCCGAACCAGATTCAGACGTTTTGTCTCGAAAAATTCATCTTCAGTGTATTCGTTCCAAATTTATCTAAATTTTTTATTTAGATTTCTTTGTTTATTGAATTATCGTACACTGTAAGTGTCGTTAGACCCTGTGAAATCCATCTAGTTATTTAAACTATTACCACCACGCATTAAAATAAAACATTATTAGAGTTTTATTCCCGTGTCCATAGTTATTTCTAGGCTTCTCGAGTGCTCAAAATTCAAACAAATTCCGATCTATTTTTTTCAGGATATTCATACAAATACATCTGACATGCTCTTTCACAGTTGCGGTTACAGATATAATAAATTCCGATAATATTACGCTGATCTTCATTTTCAACCTTTGCCAAAACGAAAATGTTTTTGAACATTTACTGAAATTTTTTAAAGAATAATATTCAGTTGGCGTTTTGGTTGTTCATATGCATTTTTAAGAATTAATTTGTCATAATAAAATTAAAATTGTAATAATGTTTTAATTTTGACGCAACAACTTATTGAGTTATGTATGACCAAGTGATGGTAGTTAAATAGTTAATAATAATACATGTTTTATTGTAACGCGTGGTGTTAATAGTTTAAATAACTAGATGGATTTCACAGGGTCTAACAACACATTCAGTGTACGAAAATTCAATAAACAAAGAAATGTAAAAAAAAAGTTTAGATAAATTTGGAACGAATACACTGAAGATTAATTTTTCGAGACAAAACGTCTGAATCTAATACGGGCTGAGGCAGTATTGGGGGTCATGAAGGCTTGCGATGATGGTCCTGGAGAGACGAAACGTTACATACAAAAATTGATTATGCCATTCGATAGAGGGCAAAAGGTGGATATGAGAAAGTGTTCTTCTTTTTTCAATATCACCTCAAACAAGGCTGAAATGAAACAAAAACGGATTTCAAAAATTTCGTTTTTTTTTTAAATATTTCGAAAACTAATCATAGCCTTGATCTTTTAGAGGCATAATGTTGGCCTCCTGATTATGCAACTTTGCCCCCATTTAAGCTACTTCGCACCTCTCACCGTTTCCGAGATCCTTGTAGTGATAAGCGAATTTGTAAAAGCCTGTATACTCTAACTTTTAACTAAAAAACTAAAATGAACAAGACTTTTTTTGTTCGAGAATTAATAGAATAAATTGCTTCAATAATATAAACCACTGTTAAAAGATTTATTTACTTCAAAATTTTAAGGAATTAGATATGTATTTTTTTACTCTAGATTTAAGACCTAAAACCGAAGCTAAGTAATCAATGCTGGCCCCTCTGTGACTCATCGATGAACTCGTGCTCTATTTTATAAACATTTTGTGATTTATAACCATCGATCGAGTGGCAAGGGAGATTGCAAATTAAATAAACTATCAGCTATTTGATATTTCCTCTCTTGTATTTTTTTTCACAGTAGGTACATACTTATTTTTAAACATTTATTTATTTATTTCATTTAAACAAATTTTACAACTCTAATCAACCACCATTATTTTCTTTGTTCCAAAACTGCAAATTGAGCTGTCCAATATTATAATGGTTCCTTTATTCTAGACGTGGAGGAGAGGTAATCACTTAAAACCTTGTGTTGTTCTGAAACTTCAATTATAATGCAAGAATTATATTTCGATGGATTATGTTTCCAAACTAGAATATAATTCTCAATAGAGTTTCAAGTTAAACTTCTGCCACTGAAGTGAACATTCAACCCCCCTGTCTTTTGATGAAGGTAGTGTCTTCCACAGAATAAGTTAAATTGTTGCAGAAGAGTGTCTAAAGCAGTGGCCCATATGCAGCTATTTCTCTTTGAGTATTTCGATATAATGTAATATGAAATACACCTGAAATGACATGTTCTACAAGTGTAGGATACTAATAACATAAAATCTGTTATTGTAAAAGTAATTTTTTTCATTTCGGCTAATGCTAACATTTCAAAGGTTTTGAAAAAACATCATTTGACACACAGTTGTAAAGTAGCTTTTGTATTCACGAGCACCAACGGGTAAAAAAACTGTAGGGATACTTCGCAACCTAGAATGAAAAATAACTATTAAGAGGAACTCAACAGAAAAACAAATGACAAATATGAAATATGGTTACTAAATCAACTTTTTTAAAAGAAAACGTATCTAAAGGTACTTTCTATCAAAGCGTCCTGCCAAACTTCATCACTAAATTTAACTTTCAGAAGTAGGTAAGAAGGAAGTTATAGTAAATAAAAGAAAATATTTCCTAACTACATGCTTTGTATCTTTTGTACTAGAATAGTTTTGGTTTTTTGACAGTTAAGTAGAAATATGGCGGTTAATAAACATGAAGAAGTATACGATTGAGCAACGCATCTTTATTGCAAAAATTTATTTTAAATTTGGTGAAAGTTATGCAGAAGTTGGAAGAAAAGATCGTACAACATGAAAATACAAATTGTCCAATAAACAGCACCATTCGAAAGTAAATTAAAAATATCTGCGCGTGATTTTCTTAATTCGAACTTTCCAAATTACTGGATAGGACGCAGAGATTCAATTGAGCGGCCTCCCAGATCGCCATATCTAACGCCCTTAGACTTTTTTCGAAAATTTATGCAACACTGAACTCACTTGAGCAGCTTCGTCGGTGAATTTTTGAAGAATGTCGTCAGGTAACTCCCGAAATGCTTCGAAATGGAGCAAAGATTTTATTATTGTATGGAAGCGCAGGGAAATGTAAATTTTTTAAAAAGTCAATTTATACGAAATTACTTACAGCGAAGTTAAACAACATTCGTCGTACACACTGTATTGAAAAGCATTTAAATATTATCAGAATGGGACGATCTAATTTTAATCAAAACCAAGCCCAATTAAGTATTATACTCTGTTAGTCTACAGCTTTATGTATGTTCCTGCTCTCCTGATACTGCCATTTTTCTCAAAGGAAATTTAATTAGAAGGGGGGAAGGAACAATAGTTAAGAGAAAGCTGTTATTTAATTTCGCCGGCAGTACGGTCATTTATTCTGCATCGCTATTTAGAACATTAAACAAGTTTTTTTTTATTTAGGACTTTATCTACTTCCAGTAGAAATAAGTGAGCAAGAAATCATAACAGATGTAGTTTTGTTTCGGCCACAAATAGAAGCAGCAGATATTAATTACCTAGTTATAACAAAGGTTTATATAACATTTTTGTAATTAACTCTTGTATTGCCTGTTACATCTCTCGTTTTTTGAAAAAGGAAGGTATGCAGGTACTAAATATTAATTATATCTGTCTTAATTTATTATCAACAGCGTTCTGTAATATCTAGAGAATGATTTACATGATTTTTTCTAATTTCTATCTTGACAACAATTCAATTCTTATCCCTTAACGCCAAAATCATTTATATACACTTTTTAATGAATTTATACATGTAGGTACTTCCTCACCTCTTAAGTTATTTCTAAATGCAAATTAAAAAAAATTAAGATAATATAACTTGGATTAAATCACCATATTTTGAACCCAGAAATATGTGATATAATTTTGTCCAGACCTTTAAGAGACAACCTGAATAAAAGAGGCTGATCAATATGAACAAAGATATTGCCGTTTTCAACTAGATAACAGATAAAACTCAATATTTAGATGCAGATAAAAGAAACATTATAAGGTATATTTATTTGATTATCTAGATTCAGATAAGTAGTAGTAAAATAATCTCGACAAATTTCATACAACTATGTCTCTCCAGATGGATAAAACGACTACGATAAAATATTTTCATATTGGTATTTCAGGTTCTGAGATTGGTTAAAAACTCATTTGTGTCGCATTAGGTATAATATGGGCATTGCTACTTTGTACTTCAGTAACAGTATAACATCATATTGGCATATTGTTAACGTCAAAATATAGCGATTGAACCAAACATGCCTTAATCAATTGTTGCTTCTTTTCATTCTATAGGGTGTTGAAGTTGAAAAAATATTTTCGATTTTTTGCTATATTTTAAGTATGTATGGACTGATTTTTTTCAAATTTTATAGTTTTACGTTTTTTGAGGAGGCAAATACGAATATGCAAATAGTATTGAGATCACGTCTAGGGGGCGCTAGTTGTACTG